TTAAAAATTTTTAAAAAAAAAAAAAAAAAAAAAAAAAAAAAACATCTTTACATACATTCCCTAGGAAAAACACTCTTACTTAACAAAGAAATCGAAAAATAACCTTCTAAAAAAACTATAAAATATGTAACTAAAAATATTTTTAAATTAATTTTCATTTTAAACCCTTTATTAATAATAATTTGTATTTTTTTATATAATTTGTGTCTTTTTAATATATATATAATTTTTATATTATATTTAAACTGAGGAAAATATAATGAAAAAAATATATAAATAACATTAAGTTAAATCAACTGAGAATTTTACTGGAAAAATATTATCAGTGCATAAATTGGAATATTTCTAAGAAAAAAAAAAAAAGACAATTAAATATTTTAGTACATAATAATAACTGAAGGTAACATTTATGTGGTTATTTATCCTGTAATTATTTACTTATTTACTTTATTTATATATCCATTCTGTATATACACCATCATATAATTACACAAAGAGTTTTTTATAGTTTCTTTTTAAGAATATTAAATAATTTATTATTTCTACTTTAGAAAAAATTTACGTATTTTATAAAAAGACAGAAAAATAGTGATTAGCATATAGACAATAATATTTTTTTTTAAATTATAGTTTTTTTTTTAAAAAAAAAATATATTTCATGATGGTAATCAAAAACATTTTTTTTTTGAAAAAAAATTCTTTATCACTTAGAACTTAATTTATTTTATTACTTAAAGAAAAATACTAATCAAAAGTATAAAATTGAAAATATATCTTCTATTTTTTTTTTTTTTTTTTCTTATAAATATTTAAATAGAAAAAGGAAAATGAATTAACATTTATTGAATAAAAAGTTAAATATATAACTTCTCTTGGATATTTATTATTAAACATATTCTTAAAAAAATATATATATTAACAGAAAAAATATATATATATATATAATTAAAAAAATGTTAAATTATTTAAGTTTTAATGAAATAAAAAAAAAGCGTGAAACATAGAGAATGACATTAAAAAAGAAAGAATAAAATTAAAAATATAGAAAAATTAAACTTCAAAAGTTTTTGAATAAATTTTAACATTAAAAAAAAAGAAAAAAAAATTTGTTGAAATGTTAAAATATTGATATTCTTAGTAAAACTTTTCTTTATTTTTTAATTTCATTGTAACTTTCATTTCGTTTTTATTTTTGTATTTACAAATTTATTTATTTTATCTATAAGATATATATGTATATATTATCTTTATAATATAAAAAGAAAAAAAAAAAAAAAAAACAAAAAAAAATATTTTTTACTATATATATATATATATATGTACTGATGAGAGAACATACAAATTCAATAAGTCTTTTTATAAATATTATATTAATTTCAAAATCATTTGGTTCATCTTGGTTGTTTTAAACTAATATATTAAATATGGATAATATTCTTATATATTTCAAGAGTTAACTTCTTTATCAATTAAATATAAATCATACTGAATTCTCCAATTTTTATCATTATTTTTCATAGAAGAATCATAAAAGCTTTTTAAATTATCACTTTTAGAATGTTCGTAAAATAATTCTTCTGTATAACGTTCTTTATCAATCTGTATACATAAAATTATTAAATTATTTTCAATATTTTTTTCTCATATTCAATTTATATATTTTTTATATATATTTGTTTTAACTATTTCTAAACAAACATATGCGTTTTACACTTAAAATATTTTTATCTTTTTTTTTTTTTTTTTATTTATATACCTGTCTTATATATTGATAAATAGATATAGGAATAAAAATGGGTAACATTGTTCTGCAAAACGTACCAGTTTTAATTATATTTTCAATAAATTTTTTTGATAAATTTTCGTAACGAAAATTATTAAAAAAAAATCTTAAAACATAAAAATTAAGCATTTTGAAAGAATTTTAATATCTTTTAATTTTTATAATTAATAAAAAATAAAACTAAAATATATAAATTATTATAAAAAATTATCTTTTTTAAATATTAATAAAGACTTGTAAATTATAAAAAAATATAAATTTTTCTTTTATAAAATCAATATCCTATATATATCAACTTTCACGTATCTAAGAGCAAAACAAAAAAAAAAAAAAAAAAAAAAAAAAAAAAAAAAAGCGAGATTTTACGTTAGTTTCATTGACTATAGATAAATAAGTAAAATTAAAAAAAATTTTAAATAATAAATAATTTAATCTATTAAATAAAAAATTCTTGTATAAATAAAGAAAAACAAAAGTTCTTATGATAATAAGAAATTACCATTTTTTAATTATAATTATATATTATTCTTTTTTGTAATTTTTTTTTTTTGTTTTTTAATAAAATATTAGCCACCAATTTTTTTTTTTTTTTTTTTTTTACGTTATTTAAAAAAGAGAAAATGAGAAATTGTTTTTATGCATATTTACAAATAATAAGAGAAAAAAAAAAAAAAAGTATTTGTAATGGATAATATTAATAGAAAATTTAAATTTATTTTATTGGACTTTTAAGAAAAAGGTTAAATATTTTTTTCTCCACAATTTCTTTTTTTTTTTTTTTTTTTTTAGTAGCTGTTTAAAGGAAAATTTCATAAAAGAATAATTAAAATAAAAATATGGATGGCATATTTTAAACATAATAAATTTATATATTCATTATGTACAGTTTTTTTTTTTTTTCTTAAAGTTATCTTTTTCTATAAACATGCTTAATAGTAACACACATTTATTTGTCTATGCATATAAATTTATACATTTTCTTTAAATAAAAAAAAAAAAAGAGATTTTTAGTGTATAATTTAATAAGTTGTTATTATTTATATATATATATATATATATTTTTTTTCATTATTAAAGATTATGTGTATCTGAATTTGATACATCTACTTCTATATTTTTATCATATATGTTATATTTTTTATGTTTTTATCTTTTTGATATGTTTTTTTTTATTTTGCTTTATTGAGCATTTTTTATTTTATTTTTTTATTTTTTGTTTTATTTTTTATTTAATTTTTTTTATTTTTTGTTTTATTTATTATTTATTGTTTTATTTATTTATTTATATATTTTATTTTTATTTTTATTTTTTTTTTTTTTTTTTTTTGTATTACACATTATTCTGTTTTTATTTT